CTTAATCTTTGTGTTCAAGCAGGTTATCATGCTTTGAAAGAAACGTCACGCCCTTTAGGAATGCCGTCACTTATTTGCATAGATGTCCTCAAGAAATGAAAAATGGAGAAAGTATTGTAAAGAACTAGGTTTTACACCTAAAAAATTACAACCGAATGTTCTCTCGTTGGAACTCGACTTATAAAATCTATATCTATATATAAATAAAAACTTGATTATTGTTTAAATAGTAATTATTTTCCGCCAAAAAAAATATTGTTACTAATTCTGGAAACTATTTAAACATTTTATGGTATATGTTTTAAGGATATGATTTAGGTAATTGCAGCTGTTTTATTAAGGTAATAAATTATATAAAAAATTCTTTTGTATCTCAAGATATGCATATCATATAGTTCTACATATATATTGATGCAGCGCATCCCACATCGGGTTTGAAAGGAAATGAAGCAGGCCTTATATGAGGATGTGGATACCTTCACTAGTAAGACGCGTTTTGGTGGGTGTGTATTGAAGCCCAGCCAAGAACAAAGCCGTGCGGGTGGCGGAAGTAGCCCAAAGCGGACAATATCTTACTAGGGTCTGCATCATATATCATATATTTTTACCTAAATATCGAGATCTATCACATTCCTAACAAACATTAGATTTACTTATATATTTTTAAATTAATCACATCAATATATAATATTAATATACATTAAATATTTATCATTATGTAAAAAAGGAATATTATTTATATAAATGTTATAAATAATATTGACATTATTCGACAATAAATTTTTTAATAAAATAATATTTGAGTATTATAATGAACCAAAATATGTGAAATTATTAGTTTTTTGTAATAAAAAATAAATATGTATGTTACAATATTATTTAAATTAATATAAACGGATCACGGGATAATACATTGTCAAAACAAAGTTGTGCAAAAATATTTGAAGTAACGAAATCCCCGTGCATCGCACGGAATTCTCACTAGTATATATAAAAAGATTTGATTTTTTTTAAATAGCAACTATTTCCCGCCAAAAAAATATTGTTTACTAATTCTGGAAACTATTTAAACACTTTTGGTATGTTTTAAAAATATAATTTAGGTAATTGTTGATTGATGTATTATGGTAATACTAATCACATATATAAATCTCTAATATGTCAAGATACACATTTTAAGACACTAATATTTGTAATCCCTTGGATTCTGCAGTATAATAATTTTAATATGCATAATATTTAATATAATCACTAAATATGCCACTAATTAATTAATATAGTCTTGCATGTCATAGAAAATCTACACTAATATCTGTAATCCCTTGGTTACAGATTCAAATCATATATTCAATGGAATAGCGTTGAATCAAAAATATTGGGAATTCCATTTATATGAATAAGTTTATATATGGTAAAAATTATTTACCTAAATATTTTTTACAAAGATAATATATAATTCCATTTGTCTGTGTCTTTTTTAATTATGATTGATAAATAAGTTTAATTTTTATTTATAAAGATAGTTGAAATTAATTTTAAATTTCTATATGTGATATAGATGGAAATAAAAAATCGTGAAAAATAATTATTTTGATAAATCATATCCGAAAAATGGGTTACATATAGAAAGGTTATTATCATTTAAAGTCATGAATATAATAAATTATGGTAGATAATAAATGAAATAAACGAGAATAAATAATATGAATTTTCTATGGTGAGATATGATTTTGAGAAATGAGAAAAAATGACAAATATAAATGTATAATTACCAAAATTTGAAATAACTTATTTATGTGAAGTACCAGACAATTCAAAGCAACATTATTTACAAACCGAATTACGAAGCACATCATTTATGTCAACATCCAAAGCGTGCGACCTTGCCACTTAGACTCAACACGTTCTAAATTATATATAGAGGGGATAAGACAAATTATATCTGCTTAATTTCTATATATTATTAACAAAATCTATCCAAATATCATTGCATTATTAAAGTGAACAATAAATTATGGTAAATAATAAAAATATGCCATTTTAAGTAATTCTATTTCTAAATAAATGATTAAGATAAATAAAATACAATTTTATGTTCTCTATTTGTCTATTTGGTAATCGAATTTGTACGTGACTATATATACGATCTTAGTATTACATGAATTTTGAAAAATATATAACGTTTCACTTTACAAATCATTCAATTATAGAATTCAGACATCTTAAATTTAATTTAGTATCCAAGAAAAAAAAATAAACCGACACTTATTTTGATATGGATATGATGTAATTATTACATGTCATGTGCACTGCACGAGTTGTGTACTAATTTCAATAGACGTGTTTTATATAATTTTGCACAAATTATCTTTCATATAACATTTAAAATAAATTAATATAGGGAGGAGGGGAGCATTACATATTGATTTCATATTTCAATGTATTATTATTATTTAATAAGCATTTTTAATTTATAAGTATCAATAAATATCTCTTACTCGTGCATCGCACGTGATTCGTACTAGTGTTATTGTAAACGTATGCATTTTCTCATCAAATTGAGGAATTTTTTCGTAGTCCTCAACGTAAGGGTTGTGATGTTCACCATTACCACCCAAGATTGGATAAATTGCCACACTTATCAAATTTTTGAAAACATTTCAAGATACTACTAACGTACTTTCTAGTGTTTACTATTCAACTGCTCAACTTGTTGTAAATCAATGTGTAGCTGTAATGTGGGATTTTAGAGATATTTTACTAATGATTCTGACTTACGTTGTGAACTTGTACGAGATATATTAAGAAAGTGGTTAAAATATTCACTACGTGAAAATTGCTTGCTCAACTAATTTAACACATATTATGATATTATGTATCAACTCCTACTTTCGAGTTACACCGATATCCTAACTATAAGTGGAAAACCTAACCCACTACAGGTTGTCGAGCAAGCCAAACTTTTATTGTATTAATTGTTTAGGGAAACAACAATTGGACTCTAGGAAAATTCAACGTCATTTTCTTCAACTGCTTTTGGGTCTTCAACAATAGGGACATACAACACAACAAACCCAAAACTTTGATGACTGATGGGATGAATTTACCATACAAAAATGCTAAGATCCAAATGGCAAAGTGGACTGGATACAGTGAGGTAGTGCTCACTACCTCACGACGAAATTGATAGTAATGATTGATCGTGAACCAGTTATGCCACAAATTCAACGTCTTGGATTGGTGGTAAAAGATTTCGCATTTATCCAATTACATGCTTGATGGCTAAGGAGATTTTCGTTGTCCCGTCATCGACAATGGCTATTGAACAAGCATTCAGCGAGAGAGGATATACACTGGACGCACGACGGTCGAGGTTGATGCCACAAAACCTGGAAGCTCAAATGCTGTTGAGTGACTGGAAGAAGGCTGAAACGATGGCACAAAAGGCCATGCTAACTGTCGAAGATGATGAACATGATGAGGCATCTGATTTTACTGCTAGTACTAGTGGAACCGCCGAAAATGAAGAAGACAAAGACACATACGACTACGAGGATTAGATAATCAGTTCAGTTATGCCTATCATCTACTTTTATGAAGATAAGTATAGTAACAGATCTACGAAAACTTTGATTCACGACGTAAGAGATACAATTTTTTACTTTTTTTTTTCCAAAAGATAGATTTTACTAATAGAAACACACAAATACAAACTAGAAAAAACAGCAAATCCGCTGAGAAACCAGTCAACCAGCTGAATCTAGGTGGGAGTGCTACACAAAGTAAAGTCTAAGGCCTACCTACCAACAACAAACAAACCACAACACACTAAAACAACCTACAAACTCCCAATAGAGGAGAAAAAAAAAAAAAAA